TCTCACAGTGTTTACATCAGATTGTTGTGCCTGAGACACTTTTAATTGTATTTTCCGGTTAAGATTTTTTTTTTCTTTAGTTCTAACAATGAAAATATAGAGAATAAAATGTTTAAATGTCATTCTAACAATAATACAATATATACTATTTGCAAATTCAAGTAACAAAAGGTTTTTCATCACAGCCCAGCACCAACAATTCATAGATTTTCAATATATATGCAGAATTGTGCAGGCGCAACTATGTAGAGTATATTAAAAAAGACATGGACACTCTATTAAAAAAAGTGAAAGCATCTTATACCATCTCACTTCGAGGAAACAGTGTGTTTAAAGTGATTATTATGTCAGCCCTGTCTGCTCAGAATTTACTTGAGGACAGGAAAACAGCATCCCTGAGAATCAGTAATACAACTGCAAGTAACAGTAAGCGTTTTGTCCTTCCTATTGTATCGGACTGTAGTTAGTACAGATACAAACTAGAAAGAGAAGTTAAAGAACGTTAAAATCCAGAAAAGATCTAGAAAGAGAATTTAAAATCTTGTAACTGAAAGTTCAAATTTGTTTTACTCAGAGAAATCCTGCTGAGCTGCAGACTCAAAAAATTTACAGGCAGCTGAACTGAGAAATGTAATTCTTAAGAAAGCAAAGAATTGTCCCTGATTAGAATTTCAAACCATTCGATTTTTTTTTTCTGAGTAAGAGAAACTTAAGCCATTGCATTAAAAACTTCAGTAAACACATAACTGTGTCAAGGTTGCAGACATTCAGTCTTTCTTCCCTAAGACTGAACCCAACTCCCTGTAAAATGGAATCCACCAATAATGCCTTCTGTGGTCATCAGAACACATATAGTCCTTCCAAAGACTTTGGTGCCAACAGTCTTCAGGTGGGTCTTTTTTATTTCCTGGACATATGATAAGGAGAAAGGAGGTCTGGGTCTGTTTTTGATGATGGAAGAAAAAGGACTGATGTTTAGAAAGAGGCATCTTTGTGCATTGGTTTAACACAATGGCTTTTAGTGGGGATGGGGAAAGCCACAGAAGCATCTTCTGAGAGCAGCTCCATTAAGCTTCTACTATGCCCAGAGAAGCCAATTGAAGGCTGTAATGACAGATGTATTGTTGACCCAATTAGAGAAGTTGGTAACACCTCTGCAATGATATATTTAAGAAGGCAAAAAACACACTCAGTTCCTCCTGTTCTTCCGCGGGGTGGGGAGGTGCTGGGACCATGCAGCACGGCACCTCGGCACAGCTCGCAGTGAACTCTGCCCGCTGAGCTGCTTCCAGCCAGCCACGCTGCAGGCACAGGGGCAGCGGTGGCAGCAGCAGCTTCTCCTTTTTAGCGCCCCACATGAAGAGAGCTGCCAAATGGTGCCAGCATCGCGGCAGCTGGCACAGCCCATGCACTGCCAGCGGGGCGCACACGTCGGACAGCGAGGGGCATAACGAGCAACTCCCCGATACAGAGCCCAGGCGAGATCAACCTTTCAGCACTGCAAAACCCTGTGAGAAATTTCCAATTGACAGAACTTGAGAACAAACCAACCTACAGACAACAATTTTCTTCCAAGCCAGAGAAAAGGAAAAGGTGAGGACACATGAGGAGAACAACATGGCAACACTAAGGCTGCAGTGAACGGAGGGAGGGAGAGGAGGTGTTCCAAATGTCGGAGCTGAGATTTTTCTCCAAGCTATGGTGAGGACTATAATACAACAAACTGTTTCCTGGTAACTCAGGAAGAGCATGGGGGATCCAGAGACGCATTTGCAGCCTGTGAGAAAAGGTGCTCATGCTGGAGCAGGTGCATGCTGAAAAGCTGTAGTCTAATAGGAAACCAGAACAGAGAGCGCAGACCCTTGCTTGCAGAGATTAAGGAATGTTGCTTCCAAACTAGAGCAGCTTATCCTTCAAAGACTTACATATACCCCCATGAACTAATATGACCCACACCATGTAGTTTGGGAAAACTCTTTTGCCTGGGGGAGGGACTCGCATTAGAGCAGGTTGGGCAGGACTGCTGCTCATCAAAATTAGCACCACGCTGGAAAAGTTCACAGACAACTGTCTCCCATGGGAAGGACTCCACGGCATAGCAGAAGAGACTCTCCCTAAGCAAACTGAAGAAAGATTTCAGATGAAAAACTGACCAAAACTCCCACACCCTGCCTCTCTGTACTGTCAGTGTGAAAGAAGGAGAGGCTGGAGGGAGGAAAATGTTCTCAAGATTTGAGTTCTAATTAACCTCTTTAAATTATGTTAACAAATTTTTCTTTATACCTTTTAGAGTTTTGAGCCTGTTTTGCCCTTGGAATGTTTTCTCCTAATTCTCACCTCAACCCATGAGTCCTTGAGTCTTTCTTTCTGCCTCCTATGCTCAACTGTAGCAGAGGAATATGAGTGAATAGTTTTTCTCGTGGGTGCCTGGTGCTTAGCCAGTGTCAAACCATGACTTTGGCAACTGGGAAGAACTTGGAAAAAAACTGCGCTATTTTCTTAAACCTACAGAAAGCTTCAGGCCTTCAACCAACAAAGAATTTCCAGAAGTTGTAAGTTACCACTTCAATAAATATTTTGTCCTGAAAATACACACACTATCAAATTCTGGTGCAACATCCATTTTCTGGTTCCAAACCACTTTGGCTGCTGTAATTATTTTGTTGGATTTTTTGTCTTTTCCACTGAACTGCTCTTTGCAGTTTGCAGCTCCTAAAGACTAATCATCCTCCAAGAGAGAAGAGGCATTTTTTCTTAGATAAAACACATAACGAGAAGTTAATGGACAACTTCTTGCTGTTAAAGAACACAAAAAATTGCCATATCCAGCACACAATCCATCAACTTTGAAAGGATTTTGAATTTCCCCTAGCATGTGTTTGAAATCCACACACGAAAACTGTTAAAATAATCTAGAATAACTCAAACCTTAGTTGCTCTAAACTGCAACTTTATAGATCACTTTCTATTTCTATTGTGTCCAATTTTTCTTTAAAATTCTCAAATTCATAATTTGAGTTATGTGAATGTGTTTTTTATTAATCTTATGATTAATAACTTAAGACAAAAGGTTGCTGGGAGTGAGATTTCACCAATATAAAATCTTCCAGTCATCTGAAATAACATTACTAGTTTGTGTGAAAGCTGTCTTTTTCACTTCTTCCATGCTGAATGAGGAATAATTCAATGTCAACTCTAAAAATCTCTGTTAGTACAGAAATCAACAGTGGTTGAAAAAATACATATACTACTAGTGCCTTTTAGGTAGTGATTAATAAGAAACAAGAGTTTTTCTTTCATTTAAGAAACAAACGTCCTGTAAAGCTAGTAAGTGTCAACTTATGCATTTTTGAAGTCTAAAAATCTCCAAGTAAACAAACCTTCTTCCTATTAAATATTAATATAACAGTGCATTGCTTTTAACAATAAAGTCAACTTACAGCACTTAAAATTTCAGATAACCAAGTGCATTTACTAATTTCAACTTACAGATAATTAAGTGCATCTACCCAGGAAGGAGGAGAGTTCTTCCTTCTCCACTGCTTACTTTGAGAACTCCTCCCTTTCTATAAACTATTTCAGGGCAAAACTTACCTTCAGCTTTCTAGGCTACAAGTCTTTCCACCCCTGACAGCCACTCTTAAAGCTACCATTTACAAGCCCTGCACATGTTCATGCCAACAGAAGCAACACTTGAATGTACTTGGCCAATACAGTCCTGAGTGCAAGCAGGCTTTAAGACGTCTGCATGATCTGATCCTGGCAGGAAAAGTACAATGTGGACAAAATAAAGACTCCTGGTAAATGTGTGCAGAGCAAATCTTGCAGTGAAAGCCCCTCAAGAACACTCACAAAAGCCCCATAAAAAAACATGGGCTTCTGAGCTCAGTGCTCCAGCTCCTGATGATCATTCTCTTAGAAACTGAGACACACATATGTGGCATTAAAAAACAACGTAATCAAATTATTTAAAAAAACCCAAAAACACATAGAAAAAGAAGCAAATACAAGATCAAGTTTAAGACTGATGGCAAGTCAGTAATGCAGAGTGCCTCAATATTACTGTCATAGTGATTGAGCAGTGCTGCCCATTTTCTTTTCCCTTTTGCTGGTTTATGAAGATTCTTCCTAGAAGTATTAAGCTAAAAATCCCTCTGATTCTACTTGATCAATTTGGCACAAAGCAAATCTAAACTGGTCAATGAAGCCTTTCCTGTTATTAGCCATTTTTGAATACTAAGGTTGAAAAAAGGAAGAGAGAAATGTTAAAAACAAACAGAAATACTGTGTGCTCCCAGAATAGCACAAAATAGTAGTGTAATTATTTAATCACTACAGTTATCAACTACACTTGTCAAGGAAATAATCAAAACAGCCATATTGTGAGAAAACATTTGTCACGACCCATATATGACTTGTGCTCAAGTCCTATGATTGGAATTTATAACTCATTTCACCACACATAATTTTATGTGGTATCAACTAAAATGGAGAGATTAGCACGAGTCATTATGAAGTTATAAAATTTCTGAAGCATTTTCTTGATGTCATAACATATTAGATACAAACACTGTATCAATTAACAGCAAGGCTGAATGCTAAAAAAAGATCTGACTCAAGTCCCTTAAAGCTACAATTTGAAGTGTACAAATGGCATGACATTCAGAGCTTGCAGGACAGACAATGAGGATACTGTACTGTCAGACACACAAAATACCTCCCCATACTCCTGAGCGGCACAAGAACTTCAGATTCTGTGCTTTAACTGTAACAGTAAAAACTTCGAACACCACACACACTGCTAAGCAAATTCATGTTTGGCCTGGAACGCTTTAGACTCAAATTGTTTAGCACCTTGACAAATGCAAATACTCACAATTTGCTAGCTGTGTTAATGTTCAAGCTTACTCTGAAAATACTTAAAGTTTCAGTAACACAGTCTCAGAAAACAGACTTAAAATAGTTGTCTCTAATACTGAATTATTTAAACATTGTATTACCTTCATGGCATGGATTTCTTCTATTAATCTCTCAACTCGTTTTTGGTTCTTTAATTTCAAGTCTTCTGAACCCCTGCAAATGAAGTCTATAATTATTTTTAAAAAAAAATCTCAGTTTAGTAACTTTGTTTCCTCTCTAGCAACACTAAGTAGCAAAATAAAAAAAAAATCAGGAGATGGTGCACAAACACAATCCCTTATTGGCAAGTGAACATTTCAGCAAAGAGTTGAACATAGCCTAAAGCTTTTGCTGTACTGAACAGCAGAGGAAACACTGAGGATTTAGCACAACTATGTGAAAAACAAAAATTACTGTATCAGAAAATAGAAAACCACAATTCATATCAAGAATGGGTGACAGCAGTGTCTCAAATATAAATCTGTTTTAAGATCTGTAGTATTTAAATATGGAAGTTCATTGGATTTGCTTCTTATTTTGGCCAACTTGCTAAAATTGTGAGAGTATCCTCACAATTTACACTATGAACACAGTAGGAGATGTATCTCACACCATCTCTAAGATATGTGCTAAATTATTTCAGGCCAGTAATCTTTAAAAACATAATCTACAATATATTGTTTAAGCTGTTCATATAATAATTAATTATTAGTAATTACTAATAATCAAGTATAACCTGTATATCTATGCAAATGAAGTATGTTTTGCTACACAATCCCAAAGACAACTACAGTGAGAAAATTTGGTGCAATTTAAATTCAACAGCAGAATAATCTAAAACATGAAATATGACACTTTGAGATGTGCTGTAAAAGGTTCTGTAACTGATTCAGATTACCTTCCAATACACTAAATCCCATTAAAAGGTAATCCCAATTCTGCTTTATGAAACTCCTTTTAATTTGTATTTTTAGTCTAAAATTAAGTTAAAATAAGACAAATATGTGTTTTAGTGCCTTAAGTTTTAAATGTAGTACATTTTTCTCCCATTTTTCAATCTTTGTGAAAACAATTAAAACAGTGCCTTATTTATAAACCACAAAAACCCATTATTATTTAAAACTGACTTTTTAGATTTTAGTTTCCCGATGTGTCTGGTTAGTCTGCGAATAGTGAGGACTCTGGCCTTCTTCACATCTTTTCTCATCTTCACAACCTGTGAGAAATATGGAAGACATTAGAAACTGTTTTCCTTGATTACGTTCCATATACAATACATTCATTACATTGACTTAAATTTTAGAAATTAGTTCAACAAAGAGAAATATTTTAAAAATAGAGTGCATTTCCCTGCTAACCAAATCTCATTTCTAATGAATTCAGATTTCCATTAAAATCAAACTGCTTCCATAAACATCAGCAGAAGAATAACCAACAGTCTAAAAATGTGTCTGAGGTCTAAATAGAAGACAAGACATTCCTAACTAGCCATACTTTAATATTATTCTTAGAGCTAGACTGAGCTAGGGATTTGAAATGTCTCACCTTTTGCCTTCACTTAGCTTACTTTTGTCCCAGAGAAACACCAGCAGTACATTAAGCCCATTGGTGCATAATAAATAAAAGCATTTCAATTATTAAACATCTTCAAGTGTTAAGGAAAGACTCTCAAAAATTGACATTATTTATTATGGAACAGAATTTGAGATATTAAATTCCTGTTATATATTTGAATTCATTCTTGTTCAAAACAAAAGTCCAAGTGGTTTCTAACTTGCTACAGTCTGTCTCAACCTGCCGTCCTATCGACTACTCTGTTTCCAAATTTAAAGCAGGCAGTTTTACAGAAAATTCAGAAATTATATTTTGGTCTTAATTCTCACCCCCAATAACAAAGAAAGAACTCTCATTATTATTATTAGATAGATAGGATGAACAAAGAAATCTTTCCAATCTTTTGCAATTAAATTCCATAACGGGAAACCTTAAGCCCAGGTGCTGTCTAATGGTGAACACTACAGATACAGGGAGTCAATAGTGATGCTTTATTTTTACAACTCAACTTCCCCCTTAATTATACATACGTATCTTACTATGTCTATTAAAATGATATATTTGACTGTTAAACTTAGAATAACATGAAATATTAAAACAAACAAAAAGAATCGGTCTTCCTGACCAAAGCCAAATTTATCTTAAATTTATCCAGTGGAATAAGTTCCAAAATTAAGTTGGCATCTCCTTCTCAAAGAAGTTCTTTACGTCAGATTTCTATTCTAATTTCTCAGCAATAACATCAAAATGACAGATTGATGACGACTCTACCACCTAGTTAGGTCAAGAATATTAGTACTATAAACCTACATCAGACTTGAACAAAAAAACCCAGAAAAATCTTCAAAGCTCACAGGCAGTACTTCACACCTGTGATGGGGAGTCGGCCAGTACATATACACCTGTGCACAGACCATAAAGGTGATACTTAAGCAAACAAAAGGAAGGCAGAACACATCCTTTGCGTAACTGATTATGGTTGTAGCTTAGAGTACTGATTGAATCAAGTTGTTAAGCCTGAATGGTATTCACCAGTAGCTTAACTGGAGGCTGAATCAGAGCAAAACAATTTCCAGAGAGGGGCATGTCTACTTGTCAGCCTTGCCTCTGCCAGGCAAGTGAACGAACATGGGAAGCAGTACTCCTCTGAGAAGCAAGGGAGGGGAATTGCACGGGGGCAGCGCTAGTCACTTGCATCATGAGAAATAAAAAGGTAAGGGAGGATTTTGGGATAAAAATAGCTGACTTAAATGTGGCATCCTGTTCCAAAAATTGTTACAGCAAAGGTCAGTACTTACCTTAGTTACCCTAGTAAAAGTAACTGTACACACAGATCTACCTACAAAAGTTTCAGTTTACAGCAGAAACCACATGCCAAAAAGCACCAAGTGCCAAGTTTCTGCTACACAGCAGCACTGCTCGAGACTTTACATGCTAAGGAAGAAACCAATAACATCACCATTTGCCATCAAGGTGATAGATGTAGCTATTTCTTTTTTATAAGATATTGAATGAAATTATCATATGTCCCTATAGTACATCTTCTAAAGGAAGAAAGAAAAAAATGCAGCTTCTGTCTGAACACCACTTCAATACTATACATACATATTGTTACATTCAATGGAATGTTTGGAAAGTCAGAGGAAAACTGGGTATGCCTTCTTAGAACGTCTGGGGTGGGGAGGTTGTTTTGAGTTTGGGATTTTTTATTCTCTACTTTTTTTAACATCCACTAAAAACATCCACAAGCTAGAAACGTACTGGAATTTAAGTAACTCATACTTTACATATTAGTTACTGTGTATGCAAACATGAAGCATATTTAACTTGCTCTCAAAAATGTTTTGTCAGGTATTTTTTAATAGAAATACTAATGCACACACAGCATGTTTCCAGGGCCTACAAGAGCCAAACTTCAGCCTCCTCTGCTGCCAGCCAGTGAAGGCTGTATAGACATGACAGCAGGAATGAGGGAAGGTATTCATTCCTTGGCAGACTAGGAGTATCAATTTAAGTAATCCAGTCACTTATTTCACACGGGACAGTATGCATCAACTCTGTTCTTGGAAGTACTCATAACGTTCTCAAGAAAGCAGTCAGCTCTTTGGGAAAGAAATCAAAAAAGTTTAGCTTCAGATTTACAGTGTGCTTGAAACAATGGGGCTTAGACCACCAGGGTAGGCCCTGCTCTCTTATATTACAAAAGGAGAGCAGCAACTTGCCATCAGTAGGAAAAATACCACCAAACTAAGCCAAAACAAACAAAACAAACAAAAAAAAACCCAACACACCACGAAGAATAGTCATAGTCATATTTCAAAAAATAATAACAAATATTTATTCACAATAAGGTAGGAAAGACAGTAAGAAAAGGAGAAGTCTTTGCACTGAAACATAAAAAGGCAGCAGTCTAAGTACAGATCAGACTCTATGTTTTAAGACTAGGCAATAAGGATTTTTAATGTACTCAGCAGTGACAGTAAGCACTAAAGAATAATTATAAACAAGCAAAACACAAACCAAACAATTTCCTCTAGGATCTAGGATTCCTGGAAATTAAGGAAGTCTGCAATTGCATGTGGAAATAACCACTTCAAGGATTTCTTTGAAGAAAGAACAAGAGACAGTTCTTTACTTTGTTGGAAATACTATTTATGAGACAACTAAACTATACCTCCTCATTAATGCTACCAAATGTCTGTGTTCACGCATTATTAATAGATGATATCAAAGTAATAGTAAATATAGACTACGTATCAATTATTAAATACAAAAGAAATTACAAAGGAAATGAACTCACTTTTGAAAACAAGCCTAGGTAGTAACATATAGAATGCACATAAGCATATTTCAAAAGCTATGGTTATGAACAAAAACCATCCATTCAGCACTATGCCCTTTCACGAAACAAATGCAAAATGTAGTTATATTACTATAGATGCTAAACAAAGATGAAGACCAAAAAATTCCACAACCAATGGTTCTCCTCAAAGAGAGGCAACCATCAATCCAACAGCTTTCACCTTCAGTAAGCATTGACATGTACCAGCCAGCAGCACACAAACCATTTCAAGCCGTAGGCAGATGGGAGCTGCTGCTGCCCTTTCTAAAAAGGGCAAACAAAGAGCACAGCAGGGGATCAGCAGATGACAAGCCAGACAAGACCTAGAAACTCTCCTGTAACTCACCTTTTCCTAGGAGTGGGCATTACTGAGGGAGACTGTAACAGGAATTGCTGGCTTCAGCACAGCCTACGCTAACATGATACTTGGCACACGCTCCCAGTTCTCATCTGGCAATGAAAACAGCCCCAACTTTAATGTATGGGTACCACTCACACAGTACAAAGACACCAGAGGGCACATGTCAAACCAAGAGGGTGATTTCTATCAAATAATAAAGAACACATGTGTATTTAAAGACATCACAAGGACTGTATTTGACCCAGAATGCACAGCTGAGAAAGGGAGAATCCAATAACTTCAACTACTTTGCTTTCTATTTCAGGTTATACCTGACTCCAAAGGGTTAAAAGCCATTCCCAGAGATTTGTATTTTTGTGTGGAAGTTCAATCAGACCTTCCCAATCCTCAGCATGTCCAAGCCCTTCTTGTGCCCAGAAAGAAACTGATACAGAATTACTTAATTGTACCTCTTAAGTCTTCTCTAGGGTTTTTCCATGAAGTAGTTCCATTTTGACACTGGTATTTCACTTGCAGTTACAAATTACTTTTGACTAACAAAAGTCTTGGAAGGGCTGAATCAATTCCTAAATCAGTGTTAGACAGTGTTAGGAAAGGGCTTCTGATCACAGACATGATCCCTTTTAAATTAATGGGACGCTGTTATTCTACATAATACAAGACAAAACATATGTATAATAGAAGAGGAAGTTATTTTAAGAGCCTCCCACATAATTAAGCTGTTCCAAAAATACCTGTTTGAAAATTTTCAAGTTTCTTTAAGAGAAATGTAAGGCACTTTTAGATAAAGCATTAAGAAGGCTAGTTTAGGTTCTGAAAGTCTGTATTACCACAAAACAGTCCTCATATTAGGGATGGCAGAAAAACACCAAGGAATATGGATAAAATGACAGTGTAGGTACAATTATACATTCAAATTCACATGACTAGTCAAAGATATTTGCCTTCACATTTTTAAGACAACAGCAGCAAAGTTCTCAAACAAGCATTACATTAGAATAAAATGTTATACTTGGCCACTTCTGAGACTTGTTTTGAGGTCTGTACAAGCAACAAGACTCCAAACTAAGCTAATGTTCAGCCAATTAGAAAAACAAAAAAGGAAAGTGTGACTAAAGATTTGTAGATGTATCAAGAAAGGTACGTGTCTACTCTGAACTATGGTATCAACTGTACTTGACAAAAAAAAATATCCCAAAACCAAACCATTACTCAAAACAAAAAAAAATCCAATGGATTGAGAGAAGCACTAATATGTTTCTACCTATGACTTGTTTGAATGTATTTTATTCGAACAACACTGAAATACTAGAACAACTGTGAAGGAAAAGCTTTTTTTAATATTACCACATACAAAAGCTAATACCGTATATGAAAATATCTGAAGGACCTCGAATATCTCAAATTCTTCTTAACTAAACTTAATAGAAGTTAACTTACACAGTCAGCCCCAGCTATC